TCCTTCCGAGGTGGGTGAAATGAGGACCCGGATTGTTGGGGGCGATATGCTGACTCTGTAAACCGCTTAGAGAGGTCTGAAAGCCTTATGAAGCGGTATATAAGTCTAACTGCTATTGCTATTGCTATTGCTATTAGGAAGAAGGGCTCTACTAGACCAAACCAAGGTATGCTGGAGCATCAGAGCAAGGTCCTTTTTTATATCTCCTTTGATGGACAAGAGGAGAGCCTGGAGCTGAAGCGGCCTGAAAGGACCCAGAGAAACCTGAATGTGCCTAGACCATGTTGGCCCCACACAGATGTTCCTTTGTTCTAAGCGACAACGTACGGCACCTGCCATGCTCCCTATAGACACACTCCACGTTTCTTCTGCAAAATAGAAGACCCCAAGACTGAGAGAATCCTCTGGAATTGGAATCCCAGATCACACAAGATCCCATCTCTGGACCTTTCAGGAGCGAAACCCCCTCCCTCTGTCCAGATGATACCTGACCTCCTCCCCTCCCCCGCAAAGCACAGCGATTCCCTTTTGGGGTCGACCTGTCAGGACCCTGGACTTTATACCTGGGTTCCTCTCTCTTAACTCAGGACGCTGGGGGTGCAAATGTCCTTATCCCATTCCCCCCACCCCCTTTTTCAACCCAAGAATTCCACCAGCATGTCAAAGACCCCCTTCTATTGAATCAATTGAAGCCTGTTGTGAGAACCAGGATATTACATTAAACCATCTTATGCTTAATGGTAAGAGACATCAGTCCCTTTTCAATGCAGAGACCAGTTCTGGGGTGAAACTCAGCAGGTTCTGGAAAACCCGTAGCAGAAATTTTGAGTAGTTCAGAGAACTGGCAAATACCACCTCTGGCTGGCCCCTGCCACGCCCACCAAGCCACGCCCAAAAAACTGGTAGTAAAAAGAATGTCATCACTGACATTCCCTACTTACTCTTTCCCTACTAACGAATACAGGTCTTTTGGCATTCATCTTTGGTCTTAAAATTGTTGGCATTGCCATGGCATCCACCGTAAATAAAACCCAGGCATTTATTTGAAGCCGGGTTGTAGTAGAAACGAGGTATTCTGCCTTTACATGGTCCTTGGACAGGAGGAAGATGGCAAAAATCTGTGACAAATGGAAGGGAAAGTGTTATTTCATTGGGTACCACAAACACCTTCAACATATTTCCCCAACCACCAGTATTTGCTCTGGGGGGTTGGGGGGGCGGGATGTGGGATTGGGGGGTGGGAGGGAAGGGGAAAGGTACATAATTGTAAAACTTATGAAAACTTTTAATAAAAGAAACATATATCCCCAACCTGGGGCCCTCCTAGCATGCTCAGATTGCCAGCAGTNGTATGTATGTATGTATGTATGTAGGTAGCTAGGTAGGTAGATAGAGAGATATAGATAGATATAGATATATAGATATAGACATATACATAGAGAGAGATAGCTATATAGATATAAAGATATAGAGATAAGAAAGGTCGTAAGAGGGGCAAAACTCACTTAACGAATGTCTCATTTAGCAATTGTCGTTTGTATGTCGCGGTCTACCCATACTGAAGGGATTCGGAAATTGATTAGACTGGCTTCTCTGGGAACTGATCGTTTTTTGAAATTGACAAGCCATTCAGAACCATATTTCTGCATCTTGACAACTTTTAAGATGTGTGTGGACTTCAGCTGGCTTCATGCTAGCAGGAGAATTCTGGAAGTTGAAGTCCACACATCTTAAATTTGCCAAGTTGAGAAACTCTGATCCAGAGTATCCTACCAAGCATAGCAACCGTATTTCTAAAATTCTGGGAGCTTTTAAAATCATGGCGTTTGAAACTTGCATTTGGTGACGGAGGCTAGAATGGATTGTGTCCCTGCAATGGGGATGAACCTGGCCTCTCTTGATTCTGTGTTGGATTTGTTATTATGGTTCATTGAACAGTCACACAGAGCTTTAGACTGGATTTGGTATTTTTATTCACATATCGAGCCTGTGGATGTGTGATGGTGTTAAAGATCTCATCATAGGATGTAAGCTAAGTAAAGCTGCCCTTTGAAATTGACTGATGGTGATTTTTGTCAATGCCGATTTTGCTCAAAGTGGTGCTTCAGCCGTTTTGGGATTGTTTCCAAGGTGTCATCTTGGTTGGTGTCAACTTGGCTTTCTTTTGCCACAATTGTAGTTATTATTATTATTCCTTGCACACTTGGCCAGATGTTCAGACTGGATTTGGCATTTTATCTAGCTATTGAGTTGTATTATTATTATTTCATATTTTGGGCATAGTAACTTTGATTTACTACACTGCTACAGACAGTATGTTTTGTCGGCCCCCATTTAAAAGTCAGATGATTGAAGGGTCCTAAAACCACTTGCAATAAACAAAACAATGCATTTAAGAGGAAGACAGGCAGACAACAAGAATACAGAATGATGGAAGGAATTGTTCTTTCCCCAAGGAGCTGGCAGACAAAACAGTTGCCTTCCTTTTTAAAGAAAAAAGCAACACTATTTCAAAGGAGCAAGGATAAAGATTTAAAGCAGATCTGCAAATGGAAAATGGAGAGAGGGAGACAGAGAAAGAATGGGAGGGAGAGAGATATTGATGGAGGGAGAGAAAGAAAGCGAGAAAAAGAGATTAAGAGAGAGTGGGAGAAAGAGATTGAGAGAGAAAGAGAGGGAGGAAAAGAAATTGAGAGAGAAAAGAGATTGAGAAAGAGAGATTGAGGGAGGAGGAGAGAAAGAATTGGGAGAAAGAGATAGAAAGAGAGAAGAGGAAAAGAGATTGAGAGAGAGGAATTGAGAGAGAGATTGAGAGAAAGAGAGAGGAAAAGAGATTGAGAGAAAGAGATTGAGAGAAAGAGATTGAGAGAGTGAAGAGGAAGAGAGATTGAGAGGAAAAGAGATTCAGAAAGAGAGATTGAGGGAGGGAGAGAGAGAAAGAGAGAGGAAAAGAGATTGAGAAAGACAGAGAGAAACAGATTGAGAAAGAGAGAGATTGAGAGAGGGGGGGCGAGAGAGGAAGATTGAAAGAGACAAAGAAAGAGATTGAGAGAGCGAGAAAGAGAGAGAGATTGAGAGAAAGAGAGAGGAAAAGAGATTGAGAGAAAGAGATTGAGAGAAAGGGATTGAAAGAGTGAAGAGGAAGAGAGATTGAGAGGAAAAGAGATTCAGAAAGAGAGATTGAGGGAGGGAGAGAGAGAAAGAGAGAGGAAAAGAGATTGAGAAAGACAGAGAGAAACAGATTGAGAAAGAGAGAGATTGAGAGGGGGGGGCGAGAGAGGAAGATTGAAAGAGACAAAGAAAGAGATTGAGAGAGCGAGAAAGAGAGAGAGATTGAGTGAGGGGAGAGAGAGAAAGAGATTGAGAGGAAAAGAGGGAGAGAGAGAAAGAGATTGAGAGG